CAATGATGATAAAATTGAAGAATTCTACCAACTTCTTTCTTCAGTCTGAAATGGATCCAACATGCAATTAAGATGTATTGATCATTATTGGCAATTGGAACGCAAAGGTTGGAAACAAAGAGGAAGGATCAGTTGTTGGAAAATACGGCCTTGGTAATAGAGACGATGCTGGAGATCACATGACAGAATTTTGCAAGACCAATGACTTGTTCATTGCAAATACCTTTTCTAAACAACATAAAAAATGACTGTACACATGGACCTCACCAGATGGAATACACAGGAATCAGATTGACTCCATTTGTAGAAAGAGATGGTGGAAAACCTCTATATCATCAGCCAAACCAAGGCCAGGTGCCAACTGTAAAACAGACTATCAGTTGCTCATATGCAAGCTTAGGCTAAAGTTGAAGAAAATGAAAACAAGTCCCTAAGAGCCAAGATATGATCTTGAACATATTCCACCTGAATTTAGAGATCATCTGAAGAACAGACTTGATTCATTAGACACTAAAGATTGAAGACCAGAGGAGTTGTGGGATGACATTAAGAACAGCATACAGGAAGAAAGCAAAAGGCCATTAAGATAAGACAGAAGGAAAAGACCAAAATGGATGTCAGAAGAGACTCTGAAACTTTCCCTCCAGGGTAGAGATGCTAAAGAAATGAGAAGGTAAAAGAGTTGAATAGAAAGCTTCGAAGGACAGCTTGAGAAGACAAAGTCAAATATTATAACGAAATGTGCAAAGACCTAGAATTAGAAAACCAAAAGGGAAGAACACGCTCAGCATTTAAGTTGAGGAAACTGAAGAAAAAATTCAAACCTTGATTTGCTATGCTAAAGGATTCCATGAGCAAAATATTGAATGATGCAGATCAAAAGAAGATGGAAGGAGTACACAGAGTCACTGCACCAAAAAGAAATGAAAGATGTTCAACCATTTCAAAGGTAGCATATGATCAAGAGCCAATGATCCTGAAGGAAGATGTACAAGGTGCATTGAAGGCGTTGGCAAAGAACAAGGCATCAGGAATTGATGGAATACAAACTGAAATCTTTAAAAAACAAATGATGCAGCACTGGAGACATTCACTTATCTATGCAAAGAAATTTGCAAGACAACCAACTGGCCAAATGACTGGAAGAGATCCATGTTTGTGCCCATTCCAAACAGAGGTAACCCAATGGAATGCAGAAATCATTGGAAAATATCATTAATATCACATGCAAGTAAAATTTTGCTAAAGATAATTTTAAAATGGCTGCAATCATACATTGACAGAGAACTTCTGGAGGTTCAAGCCAAATTCAGAAGAGGATGTGGAATGAAGGATATTATTGCCGATGTCAGATGGATCTTGGCTGAAAGCAGAGAATACCAGAAAGATGTTTACCTGTGCTTTATTGACTATGCAACGGCTTTAGATTGTGTGGATCATGACAAGCTATGGGCAACATTGGGAAGTATGAGTATTCTGGAATACTTAATTGTGCTCATGAGGAACCTATCCATAGATCAAGAGGCAGTTGTTCAAACAGAACCAAGGGAACACTGAATGGTTTAAAATTAGGAAAGATGTGTGACAGGGGTGTATTCTTTCACTATATTTATTCAACCTATATGCTGAGCAAATAATCCGAGAAGCTGGGTTCTATGAAGAAAAACGTGGCATCAGTGTTGGAGGAAGACTCATTAACAACCTGCAATATGCAGATGATAGAACCTTGTTTGCTGAAAGCAAAGAGAACTTGAAATACTTAATGATGAAGATCAAAGACCACAGCCTTTGGTATGGGTTGCACCTCAATGTAAAGAAAACAAAAATCTTCACCACTGGACCGATAAACAACATATAAATATAAATAGAGAAAATACTGAAGTTGGCAAAGACTTCATTTTGCTTGGATCAACCATCAGCACTCAGGGAAGGAGCAGTCAAAAAATCAAATGAAGTATTGCATTAGGTAAATCTGGTGCACAAGGCCTCTTCGATGCATTCAAGAGTAAAGATGCCAATTTGATTACTAAGGTGCACCTGACCCAAACCATGGTATTTTCAATAACCTTATATGCATGTAAACATTGGACAGTGAATAAGGAAGACCATAGAAGAATTGATGCATTTCAATTACGGTTCTAGAGAAGAATATTGAAAGTACCATGGACTGCCAAAAGAACAAACAGATCTGTTTTGGAAGAAATACAGCCACAGAGTGCTCCTTAGAAGCCAGATGGCTTCACACTTACTTCGCACTTATTATCAGAAGGGACCAATCTCTGGAGAAGGATATCATGTTTGATGAAGTGGAGGGGTGGAGAAAAAGAGAAAGACTCTCAAGGAGATGGATTTGCACAGTGGTAGCTGCAGTGGGCTTAAACGCAGCAACCACCGTGAGATTGGCGCAGGACAGGGCAGAGTTTCGTTCTGTTGTACATCGGGTCACTGTAAGTAGATATGGACTAGATGGCCCCTAACAACAACAGCATGACTCAAGCTGTGTCCGTCTTGCTTAATTCTGACTCGACACAGTATTTTTCTGCTACTACACTCACGATATTAAACTATGTTCCACGGTTTGTTTAAATCCTGCTACTCTTTTCTGTGTGGCGTTGTGGCCTAATGCGCTAGACTGCAAAGTCATTTGAATCACAAGGTCGGTGGGTCAAGCTCACCAGCCGCTTGGAAACCCTCTACAGGGTCACTATGGGTCGGAGTTGACTCAACAGCCCTGAACAACAACTCTTTTTTTGTACCATGCAAAATTTTATTTCCTTGTCAATCTGGTTCACACAAATACATATACTTGCAGTAGCATTATAGAGAAAAAGTAAATTTATAACAGTACATATGAAAAAATGGAAATGGAAAAGTTACAAAGCCCTTGTGTCAGACATAAGAATGATAAGGCCAGTATGCATGCATTCCGGGGAAACAAAAGGTTAGGATGCAAACTATTTTGGAAGAATGTGTCAAGATATAGACAATTTGCTCTTGTAAAAAATGTCTGCAGGACTGTAGGATCCGCACTAGACTACTAACCACAGGGTTGGGGGTTCGAACCCATCAGCTGTTCCTTGAAAACTGTACGCAGGGTCACTATGAGTAGGAACTGTCTTGAGGGCACTTAACATCAACAACGTATCAGGTATAATTGGGCCTGCTTGTGCCACTCACCTAGGTGGTAACTAGTTTCTTCCTCATCTAATGGTTGCATTTTACATTCCAAAGGGCTTCAAACTTAAGCTGATCTGATCTACAGTCATGAAGCCCTACCTTTCCTTTGCTCCCTGTGTATATAGACATCTCTGTTGTTGTTGTTGTTGAGTGCCATCGAGTCAGTTCCGACCCATAGCGACCCTGTACAGGGTTTCCGAGGGTGTAAATCTTTACGGGAGTAGAAAGCCTCATCTTTCTCCCGCGGAGCAGCTGGTAGTTTCGAACCGCTGACCTTAAGGTTCGCAGCCCGATTCGTAACCACTACGCTACCAGAGCTCTGTGGCTCTGCAGAATTACTAGTCTGCAAGGTTATCAGTTCAAAGCCACCACTGTACTTAGAAACCCCATAAAGCGTCCCTATGAGTTCGAATTGACTTGATGGTACTTGATAACAGCAACAACTCTGATGGAATGATGGGTGTTTTGTATTTTTGCTTAGCATTACCCAGCTCCAGCTGAATTAACCCGCAATGATACTTCTAGCCTTTCACACTTAACAGGATACAAGATTTTCTTCTCCGACAGCACCCTTGTTTGCAGGCCCTGTGCACAGTGAGGGTGTGGGTCTGTTGAAACTCTGGGCCCTTGCGTTGGGGTGGCATTCTCCTGAAGTTGGCAGCCTGGCTGCATTCCAGCCCGGGAGTCTCACTGAGATTCCTTTCACGCCAGAGCAGCTGTGTTTGCCACCCTGACTCAATCCTAACCCATCCTCCCCTCCCGCGGGGGACTTCCTAGTCAAGGCAAGGGGACCAGGGGAGTGGCTGGTAGCTATTTTAAGATTTTAAAAAGTCAAACAGAAACCATGTTTTTGTCACATTTTTTTCTTTGTCTGCTCTTCATTTCATATCATTTTTCTCCTGCTGATTTGCAGTTGCAGATTTCACTGTTCAAAGGAAAAGGAATGAAAAATGAGAGGCGTAGGGTCCACATAGGATGGCTCCTTTGTATTTTTTAGTTTGGTGAGCACAATGACCAACCAATGTTGTTGTTGTTAAGTGCCATGGGAGTCAGTTCCAATTCATGGCGACTCTGTATAGGATTTTCAAGGAGTGGCTGGTGAATTTGAACCATCAGCCTGTGGTCTAAACTGACTTTGCGGTCCATTGTGGTCCAGTGTTTATCCTACAGCGCCACACCTGGACTCTATTAGCAGTTCACAGCTCTGGTAGCATAGTGGTTACAAATCAGGCTGCTAACCTCAGGGTCAGCAGTTCGAAACTACCACCTGTTCCGCGGGAGTAAGATGAGGCTTTCTGCTCCTGTAAAGATTTACAGGGTCACTACGAGTTGGAACCGACTCAACAGCGCTTAACAACAACAACCTATTCCTTAACTCCTGGCAGCCAGTAATCTGTGCTCCATTTCTATGAAGTTGTTTTTTTAAAAAAGACCTGGTTTTTCTCGCAACCAGAAGGGCCAGGACCCCTAGATTTGGTCCTGAGACCAGATGTGGGGCCTCTCAGCATGCAAGTCTCCGTAGAGAGGGACAGCCACAGCTAGTAGTTCAAGGGCACTGAGGGCCATCACGATGTTAATTTCATCTCCCTACGTCTCTGCCTTTTAAACTGAATTGGATCCAGGAGACTCTTATCACCAGTAAGAATTCTGAGGGGCTGGGAAAGATGAAGCAAAGCAAGTGTGTTGGGTGGAGGTGTGCGCAGGTAGCGGCCTTCCTCTCACAGGGTCTTGAGCCTGCACACCTGCGACTGTCATTGAGGAACCAAAAGTCGCTGGATCAATGCCGGTGGGTACCCCGTCGTTAGGGACGTTGCTAAGGAGGGGCCACGAGGAGGGGGCTCACTTCCGGGAAGAGGGCAATTGGTAACCCGGAAGCGGTTAATTGTGCAGCGCTGTTTAAAGATGGCGGCGGAGGAACCTCAGCAGCAGAAGCAGGAGCCGCTGGGCAGCGATTCCGAAGGTAGCGGCCTGGGGAGGGATGTCTGTTCCGGGCTGAAATGGCTGATGTCGGGCCGGCCGTTCCCGAGGAGGTTGAGGTGGCCGGGCCTCCAGCCGGGGCAAAGCGCGCGGCCGGCCCCCTCCTCCGCCTCTGCTGTCCTCCCTCCTCCCCCTCCCCTTCCCCTCACAATGGACGCAGCCGCTGCCGCGACCCCCGGCCGGCCGGGCGGGCGGAGGCCGCGGCCCTCCCTCTCGCGCCTGGGGCGGGGTCTGGGCCGCCCCGCCCCCTGCCCACCCCTCCGCCGGGGGACCCGGGGTCGGCGGGCCCTGGAGGCCCGAGGCCTAGGCCGGGCGGAGCGGCCGCGGTCCTCGGAGTTAGTTCGCGCCCGAGGGTCGCCGGGGTGGGCCGGACTGCTGCGCACCAAGGGATGCCGCGGGCCTCCAGGGCATTTCCTGCCTGGGATCGGTTTTCTCCGACCTCGGAGGTGTGGACCTTTCCCGAGCCGCTCGGGTGGTACGGGCAGCGGTTTGCGTGTCTTGCATCCTCTCCTTTTTCCATCTACGAGTTACCCTCTGGGGACTGCGGGTCACTTTCATGCAGTTTTGTGCATCGGATGTACTGAGGGCAGGTGAGAGCCAGGTTGGTCATGCCCTAAGGAGTCTTCCGAGTCAGCCCCTCCACACACCCACCCGCTCCCATACCCACTCACATTCTCAGGCCTGGAAAACCCAGGCCTGGAGGACGAAGAGATTGGTTGCAGTCACCTGAGTTAAGAAAGAGCCACGCCCAGAAGGGGTCTCCTGGCTTCTCACCAGTGGCTGGTCCCTGATGATCCTGGGGCACTTTCTGGTGCGCCTCAGTGTTCCTTCTTTAGACAACGTCAGTGGGCCCGAGCAGCCCCATTTTGCCGGCGGAGGATCTAGGCTGCACCGAGGCATTGTGGTAAAGAGGCAGACTTTGGAGTTGGACCAGCCTGAGTGTGACCATCACAGAACTTTGTGGTGACATCGGGCAGGAGATGGCCGCCCCTCTGCATCCGTTTAGTTGCCTGTGAAATGGGCATCCTTCCCAGCAGCAGGAGTGTGAAGGGCGTGATTGTCAAGTGCAGGCACGCAGGAAGCTTTTCGAGCTGGGGACGCACCTCCTTGTCTTACTTTCCCCCAGAAAGCCGGCTGCCTGCTGGGAGGTGATGCTCGGCAGAGGGGACGGACGGGAGGTCAGAGCTGGAAGACCGAATCTTGGGGGTATTCTGCCCTACCCGCTCTGCTCCATTTAAACAGATGGACACTGAGGTCTGGGACAAGTGACCGTCAGGACTGCAGAGTCCGTGTGGGGCCAGGTGTAAGACTCATGCTCCCAGACTCCAAGCCTACCTTCCTGCCCCGGGGCTGCTCATGTCCCGGTTCACTTCCCTGAAAGGTACTCTTTGAACCCAGGCCATCCTCGGCTTTTTCCTTCCTTTCCCAGGTGTTAACTGTTTGGCCTATGATGAAGCCATCATGGCTCAGCAGGACCGCATTCAGCAAGAGGTGAGGGGCTGAGGGGGGGCATGGGAAGCAGTGGCTAGGGGCCCCATCGTAAGGGTGCGTAGGCTGCCTCACTTTGGAAGCCCCCTTCCTCCCCAGGCGATGCTCGGTACTCGGTACCTGTCCCTCGGGTGGCCTGGTAGTTAGGTGTAGGTTCCCAAGTCTGCCTGCCGAAGGCTGATGGCTCTCCCTCCCACCCCCCGCAACCCAAAGATTGCTGTGCAGAACCCTCTGGTCTCGGAGCGGCTGGAACTCTCAGTCCTGTACAAGGAGTATGCTGAGGATGACAACATCTACCAACAGAAGATCAAGGTGGGGGCCTGACCAGAGGGGCAGGTGGGGTGGGAAGGGGGCTGCTGCTAACCTGCCTCTCAGTGCATATGGCCTCACGGGGTAGGGTGGTGGGGGAGACCTCTCTCTGTTGGTGTTTAAATGTACAGCCCTGGCATCAAAAAGATCTTGAATCGGGTCCTGACTGTGTTGTCACTTGGCAGCTGTATCCTTAGCCAGTCCTTCAATGTCTGTAAAGTTGTTGTGCAATGTTGTCGAGTTGGTTCTGACTCCTGGCAACCCCGTATAGGGTTTCTGAGGAACAGCTGGTGGGTTTGAACTGCCGACCTTGTGGTTTGCAGTCCAGTGCTGATTCCTGCAGCACCACACCAAGAGTCCAAAAGCTTGGAACTGTATTGGCCGGGAATCGAACCCGGGTCTCCTGCATGGTAGGTGAGGATTCCACCACTGATTCATCAGCACTCGCATGGCCGTAAAATCTCTCATGAGGGGCCCCTGCCAGGGGCAGCGGTGGCTCGGTGGCAGGGTCCTGGCTTTCGCACAGGAGACCTAGGTTTGGTTTCTGGCCAGTGCATCTCATGGGCAATCACCACCCATCTGTCACCAGAGGCTGCTTGCCTGCTGCTCTGATGCAGAAGTGATTTCAGCAGAGCTTCCGGACTAAGGTGGTCTAGGAAGAACGTCCTAGAGTCCTGCTTCTGCATATTAGCTGTCGAAAACCCCATGGATCACAGGGGTCCAGTCTGCCCCTGATCGTGGGGACAGCCCAGGGCCAGGCAGAGTTTTGGTTCCTTGTGTCACAGGGCCACCTGTAACGTAGAGGGTTGTGAGGTAAAGGGAGAGGGTGCCTTTGTGGGGGCTCATGTCGGGGGAGTCTTTCTGGAGAAGTATGCAGTTGGAACAAGGGCCTGCAGACCTTTGTACAGGCCTGTTGCTACGACAATAGCAGGTGGAGCTAAGTCACAGCCTCTTCACCTGTAAACTGGGAAGATTTAAACAGGACAATCGACAGCCACAGAGTGGGGGGCTAGTGAACATTTCTCCTCCCACCCTCCAGCCCCCAACGTCAGAGGCACTTAGAACATTCTACCTAGAAAGAGGGGCCTTTGAAGTTACCCATTTCAAGGGGCAAGCAGGTAACTCAGCGATTGAAGATGGTCAGGATGTCAGATGGGAAACGAGGGCATTGTAGCCTCAGTATGAGAAATAGCGGAGGCCCCTGGGACAAATGGGAGTGGCCACACCTGTTGCTCCATTGTGTGTTTTTCCAAGGGAAGCCAGAAAAGATGACTTGTCCGGGAGCTTGCCTGACTTGTGTGATTGTTGTTAGCTGCATTGAGTTGGCTCCACCTCATGGTGCCCTGTGTGTTAACAGAACATGTGCTGCCCAGTCCTGCATGGTCTTCAGGGGACCCGTCACCGGGGCTAGGCTGTCAGTCCATTGCATGGACGCTTTCCCTAGATGAGCATTTCCTTTAGCATCTCAGCATTGACGGCTCATTCAAGTGGTATGGGCCAACAGCACCCTGGCCGGCTGTGCATGGCCTGTGGTCTGTTAGGACCCCATGTGTGCACAGTGTCTAACTTACCCAAGAGGCCTGCAGAGTGATGCAGGCCCCGACTCGGGAGTCCTGGCTTCACCACCCACAGCTGTGGGATCCTGGGCATTGGGTACAGTTGCCTCCTGCCCTACGGGGCTAGGGTGAGGACTGAGAGGATGGTGGCCGGGTGCTGACCACTGTGGCCAGCACACAGCCAGGACTTAGTGGTGGCAGGTTCTGAAACGAGGCCTCATTTGAAGACCTCCCTGGTACAACTTGATAGGATGGGCCTCTCTGGTTTTGTTCACTGATTTGTTCAGAGAGTGAGTGAATATTCACTGCTCTCTAGACAGGCAGTCTGCGTCAGGGTTCCCAAACTCCCCTATGTGTGTTAGACCTGAGCCCACCTTTTCACCTTGGGAGAAGAAACCACCTAAGACCAGTCTGCAGAGCCCAAGCAAATCTGGACGTAGACTTTTCTCATCTGCATAATGGTCTCCTGTGAGGCGTAGTAAACAGGGTCATGGCTAATGGTGGTGGTGGATCTGGGCTGGGGAGTTGCTTCTGACTCATAGCGACCCCACCCCGGATGGGGCTGAGGCCGTCAGTCTTTACAGGAGCAGAAAGCCTCATCTCTCCTGTGCAATGGCTGGTAGTTTCAAGCCCTTGGCAGATTATTAAGTGCTCAGAAGACTGTAGTAGCAACCCATCTGTCTGTCAGACTGTGGCCGCATGTGTGTTTCTATGATGCTGGAAGCTATGCCACTAGTATCTCATCTACTAATAGGGTCACTCATAGTGAGACAGTTTTCAGCTGATCATCCAGACCAAGACAAACTAGGAAGAAAGACCTGGCTGTCTACTTCCAGAAATTAGCCAATGAAAACCTTAGGGATCACAACAGAGTATTGTCCAATATAAAAAACAAAAACCAGTTTCTGTAGATTCTGAGTCATGTGACCCCAGAGTTTTCAGTGACTGATTTTTTAAAGTACGTTGCCAGGCTCTCATGGATTGAGTTACGTTCCCCCAAAATACGTGCCTATCTGGCTTGGTCGTGATTCTTGTAGGTTTGGCAGTTACGTAATGATGTCAATCCTAGCAGGCAGGATCACAGCCTTACTGAAGCTGTGCCCTTACTTGAGTCATACTGTTTATGTTACAAGAGGTAAAAAGAGAGAAAAGAAGCTGCCTTCCACCAAGAAAGAAGAGCCGGCAGCTGAGCGCATCCTGTGGATCTGGGGTCCTGTGCTAAGAACCACCTAGACTCAGGAAGATTGATGCCAGGACACATGTAGATCTTCAACAAATGCTGAAGGGTCCTCCTCCTTCCAGAGCCAGCAGACGGAGAAGGCTTTGTCCCCGAGCCAGTGCTGTGCATTTGGACTCGTAGCCTCCTAAACTGAGAGAATGAAGGTATTTGTTAAAGTCAGTCACTTGTGGTGTTTCTGCTGTTGGAGCACTAAGTAAGACAGAGCTTGGTAGCAGGAATGGGAGGCTGCTTTAACAGATCCCTAAACTGTGAAAGTGGTTTTGGAACTGGGTAATGATTAGAGGCTGAACGAGTTCGAAGGTATCCAATGATAAAGGCCCAATTGCCTTAAAAAGACTTGGTGGGCTTATGAACATCAAAGGCAATCCTGGTGAGGGCTCAGAAGGAAATGAGACCTGTAACACTGGAGAGGGTGCAGGGGCAAGAGGGAGCTGCAAAGAAGCTGGCAGCAGACCCAGGAGATTGGCACAAGATGGCATAGGAGCTGACCCACGAACCGAGAAAACTGGGGTGCTTCTGGACACTGTTGGCTGAGCACCTGCGGGCCTAGGCGGACTGGCAGACTGGTGGAGTGGGGTGCCTCTGGGCTCTAATTGATAGAGCTATGGAGCTTTGGAACACATCACCCAAAAGTCCAAGGAGGCTGAGGAGCCAAGAAACACGCTGAAGAGGCAAACACAGGGAGCAGAACTGTCTCACTCTCAAAGGGAGGGCCAAACCTCTGGGGTCTCAGTGGGTGGTTTCTCTTAGAGTCAGATCTTCACCTACTCACTTCTCCAGGGTGGAGCTGCCATCTGTGGTGCCAGGAGAATGGAGTTGGTTCTGGTATCCAAAGTGGAGGGAATGGGGCAGGACTGTTAATGCCAACGGGACAGAAGAACAGGGCCTGGTGGGGCCAAGATGATGGGGTTGTTGCTGAACTGGACTAGGAGAATGGGGCCACCCAGAGCCAAGAGAGCATTCTTGCCATCCTAGTGGACCTGGAAGTTGGAGTTGCCACCCAGGACCTAGAGAGCATGGCTCACACCCAGAGTCTGAAGCGCAGGGCTGGTGCCTAGAGGGTTTAAGGTGTACGGCTATTGGGTTTTTGACTTGCTTGGGTGTCTGTCCTTCCATGTTTCCTTCCAGCTGCTACCGTTTGTGATAGACTGTCCACCACCTCTGGACCTTGGAGACCAGTACTTGTGTTCTAGATTGCATGGAGTCACAGATGGAGAGGGATTTTGATTTAAAGTTTGAGCAAGAGGTTTTCCTTAGGATGCAGTGAGGCTGGAAAAGTTGTGCCCATCAGAAGAGCCCGCTTCTAGGAGTGGAAGTTAAAGAGAAGTTGAATACTCTCTTGTGGTGACCTCCTGCGTCCACTTGATGAGAGGAAGCGGGAGAGGTATTACAATGAAGAAATGGGCTAAGTTTGGGTGTGTTCCACTGGCACCCGTTGACCTAGCACACGTAGGGTAGGGATGAGCGAGAGAGAGAGCTGGCAAGTGGAAAGTTAGGGAATAATGTGGACATGGTGGTACCCAGCAACCAAGCCCCTGGGGACTAGGGTTGAGAAGAGAGAAGGGGCTAGCTGGTCTGAAGTGCTGGGAGGTGTGTGGACTCTTGAGCCTATGGGTGGTTGTACCCACTGACATAGCTCACAGGAGCTAGAGGTGAGCTGACTAGAACCCAACCGAATGAACCGAAGTGTGTTTGACACCGTGAGCTGGTTTTGATCACTGCAACTTGATGGCTTGTTTTGGACTACGGTCTACACTTTGCTTATGGATACAGTTGCTCAAAGTTCCAACTGGCACAGAAGGAGATTTGAGACTTGGAGTGGATTTAAGACTTCTGGGATATGACGCCATGAATGTGTTTTTACATGTGGCAAGGACGAGAATCTTGCAGGACCAAAGAGTGCCATATCACGTATGGATAAGTATTGTACCCCCGTCCAAAAAAAGAAAGAAACTTGTCAACTTGACTAGGCATGAGCCTCAGGCCACGATTTCTGTCTGTTCAAGCCACTTGTGGTATTTCTACAACAGTAGCACTGGAGAACTAAGGCATAGGCCTTTCTTCCCAGGTGCCTCAGGGTGGACTCCAGCTTGCAAGCTTTTGGCTAAGCAGCCTTGGATTTTAACTGCTACAGGAGTAACTCTGTTGTCTGATACAGTGCTGGCAAGAGAGCGGAAACCCACCCAGTGCAGGTTACAGTTTCATTCCCATCACTGAATCAAAGGCAGCTAACAGTAGCAACATAGTAGCCACAATGATTTGGGCTCTTTGTTCTGATACTTGCTATTTACTTACCACTTCAGAGCACATGCTGTGGGGGACACACTTTTTTGGGTACTAGAATTAGACTGATGCTCCGTGGCTTAGTGAAGAGAGCTTAAGTTCACATGATGGCAAGTACTGGGAGGAAACGGCGGGAAAGGAGCAGAGTGTGGGAGCCGGAGCCTCCCTGAGGTGGCCTGAATCGTGACTTAAGTCAGAGCCGAGCCAGCAGAGGCCAGTGTGGCTGGAGCCCAGTCAGGCGAGGATGGGGCTGGGGGGTGGGGGGAGGGCTCCAAGTGAGATAGGAGGCTGGAGTGATGGGAGAACGTCATGGAGCTTAGGTAGTGAGAAGTGGCTGGTTGTTGGATGTTGAAAGTCCAGTCCGGAGGGTTTGCTGTTGGCTTGAAAATGGGGATGAGGGAAAGTCAAGTGACGGCCGGGTTTGTGGCTGGACCCACTGAAAGACTGGAATCCCTGTTCCTGAGGCCAGCCTTTGTGAAGAGTCAGGTTCCTGGAGCTCTGTTTGGGGGGACACTAGGATGCGTGAATCTAGATTGGGGCAAAGACTGACATTTGGGCAATTTAAATCCCCAAGAGCAGGTGACGTAAGTGTGAGTCTCTAAAAGTAGAAGTGGTTTCAGCTTTGAGCAGGGCTGTGCAGGCTGCGTGCTTGTGCACTCTCCTGTGGTGGGACTTGGGGGGGGTGCAGTGGCATGAGCGGAGTCCTTAGCAGCCCATGCACATAGCAGCCAGGCATTCCTCTCCAGGATGGTACAGTGGGGGCCCTGATGTTCACAGATTAGAGAGAGAAGCCGAATCAGCTGAATTTAGAGGAAGACAAAGTAGGAACTTAGTAGACCGTGTCCCCATAGTCGGCAGCCCCGTGATCCCCACCCCCGTTTGTGCCCTGTGGGGACTACTTGGTCAGCCCTGATTCTGGCCCAGCTGTTGATGGGCTATGGGGGTGTGGGGCTACCTCTCTGCAGGACCTCCACAAAAAGTACTCATACATCCGGAAGACCAGGCCCGATGGGAACTGTTTCTATCGAGCGTTTGGATTCTCCCATTTGGAGGCGCTGCTGGAGGACAGCAAGGAATTGCAGCGGTGAGGCGGGTGGGCACCTGGACACCGAAGGAGGTGGGTGAGGGTTCTGGGAAGGGCTTGTGGGCCTCCCTCACTCTGGATAAGTAGGAGGTATGGTTCTACTCTAGGCCAAATGGATGGGCTGGGCTTCTGTTTGGGGTGTCTTGTTCTGAGCTGGGAGAGGGCCCAGCCTGGTCTGAAACCAGACAGGTACTGGCTTTCCCTCCCCTCTGGCCTCTCTGGGGAGGTCAAGGAGCCCATGCTGGCCTCTGTTCCCCTCCCACCCACAGGTTCAAGGCTGTGTCTGCCAAGAGTAAAGAGGACCTGGTGTCGCAGGGCTTCACTGAGTTCACAATTGAGGATTTCCACAACACGGTGAGCCCTCTCCTGCCATGGGCTCAGCCAGAGCATTGGGAGGTGCGCAGGTCTGGGAGTAGGGGCTTGCTCCCTCTTCTTCTCCTTCACCTTGTCCTCTGTCCCCTGCGGTGGCAGTTCATGGACCTGATCGAGCAGGTGGAGAAGCAGACCTCTGTCACTGACCTACTGGCCTCCTTCAATGACCAGAGCACCTCAGACTACTTGGTGGTCTACCTGCGGCTGCTCACCTCGGGCTACCTGCAGCGCGAGAGCAAGTTCTTCGAGCACTTCATCGAGGGTGGGCGGACCGTCAAGGAGTTCTGCCAGCAGGTGCTACACTTCCCTTCTTTGACTTGGGACCCCTTCTCTGGCCGCAGAGTGGGGAGCACCAGGGCCTGGGAGGGGTGGAGGCCTGAGCCCTGACCTGCACCTGTGCCCCCCGCAGGAGGTGGAGCCCATGTGCAAGGAGAGTGACCACATCCACGTCATCGCCCTTGCCCAGGCCCTCGGTGTCTCCATCCAGGTGGAGTACATGGACCGTGGGGAGGGCGGCACCACCAACCCGCACGTCTTCCCTGAGGGCTCAGAGCCCAAGGTCTACCTTCTCTACCGGCCGGGCCATTACGACATCCTCTACAAATAGGGCCGCCTACCCACCTGCCCACCGCTGCCCACCCCGCTGCCAGGCGCCAGCCATGTACACAGGTTTTTTTTTGTGGTTGTAAATGGTCATATTCACTCCTCCCCTTTTTTCTGTCACACCACCTTCCATGTTTTATTAAAGGGGATGCTGGTGGTGAGCCGCGTGGTGAGCCGCGTGTGTGCGTGTCCCTGCTCTGCCCCCACCCGCCTGGCTGCTGTGTGTCTGGCTGCCCTTCTCTGCCCCCCCCCCCCCCCCCAGGATGGGTCCCTCCTTGCCTTCCATCCCCAAGCCTCTCCACCAGGAGCATTTTGAGGAGCCAGGCCACTTCACTTGGGGACCCCTCTTGGTTATCTGGGCTTCTGCTTTTCCCATTCCTCATCAGCTGAGCTGCAATCTGTGGCAATCTGGAAGTTTCAGGGACCCGGGGCTTTCAGATGCCCCACCTAACCCCCACCCTGGCTGTCCTGACCCCAGCCTCGTGTCCTAACCCCCACTGGGGTCTGCATAGTTGGGGAGCCCCAGGTGGGGCCTGGCTTGGTGATGACAGGAGCTGGGACCCCACAGTGCACTCCAGAGGGTGCCAGCCTTGGTGGGCCCAGGTCACAGGCTAAGTCCCTCGCCTGTGCTGCCTTGCACTCTCCCTACCCCCTGCTTGGGCCACTGTCTGCTTTGCTTCCCTCCTGTCTCTACCCACCTCTTCTCTGGCACCCCACCCCACCCAGCACATGCGGGCTCTGGGCCCCCAGGCTGTGAGCTCCTTGGGGGCAGGCCCTCAATAAATGTGACATGCTGCTGCTGCCTCCGCCGTCTGCCCATGCCTCCACCGCCTGGCCTACCAAGAGCTCCTGTCAGCCCCTTTTGGTCCCAGCCAAGGGTACCTCCACACTCTAGGTGCCTCCCTACCCCCAGCCAGTCAGAGTTGAGACGGAGGGAGCTGCAAGAAGGCCATCTTTATTAAGGGGCTAAGGGCCGGAATGGGGTGGCCAGGCCCAGCTGCAGGCTTCGGGAACGTCTCCTCAGAGCTGGGCTCGGGGTCCTGGGGTTCCTGGATGGTCTGTGGGTGGAGCAGCGGGGTCAGAGGGCGAAGCCTGTGGCTCCTCCCCCCAGGCTGCCTCCCCAGCTCCCTTGCGGCTGGTGCGTGGGGGTCAGCATGGGGAGGGGAGGTGTGGGGGTGTTAGTGATGGGTGTTAGTGGGCAGCCGCACAGGCCAGGTCCTGCTTACCGTCCAGGCAGGGTGGGCATCGGGGGCGTCAGGCTGGAAGGCAGAGGACAGTGAGGACCCGTGGGGGAGGGGGTCGGCCAGGGGCTAGTTGGGAGCGGGCTGTGGCTGGGGCACGTACCTGCGGGGAAGTAGTGCGGGAGCCGCTGCCGGTAGATGTGCTCATCCTTCTCCAGGAACACGCAGATGACCAGGCGATCCACCTGCGTGTGGGGCAGCGCATCAGCCCAGGGCGCCTCTGGGCTCCTTGACCTGTCACTGCCCCAGCCTACATATGCTTAACTTTCCCTCTGTTCCCTTCATAGTGGGGGGACTCCTGTTGCACGCCCTCCCCCGTTTTCCTCCCCCTAGACCGCACCTTGTCCTTGTGTTGTTCCAGCCACTCACGCAGGGTTTGCAGAACCACCTCTGCCGCGGCCTCGTTGGGGTAGCCTGGGGGCGGGGTGGGTTGGGACGGAAGTCAGTGAGTCAGGACCTGCCCTCTTACCTGTCCCCACTGCGTGCCAGGGCCTGCCCACTGCCTCTTCCCCCAGCCCCTCCTGGACCCACTCACTGAAGACGCCTGTGGAGATGCACGGGAACGCCTGGGCGGGGAGACAGGGAATCGGGGCCACCGTGAGTCCTCGCGCATTCCTGGGGGACGCCTCCGCCCCGCCCCCTGCGCCCCTCACCCCTCACCGCTGAGCGGAGCTGGTGCTCCAGCAACAGGTCCAGGCTACTCAGGTAGCAGCCGCGGAGCTCCGCCTCCTGGCTGGCGCTGGGCTCGCCATGGACAATGGGTCCCACCGTGTGGATGACGTCTGCGGGAGACCACTGGGTCAACCCGGCAAACAAGCTTCCCCCCAAGTTCTGAGACCCCCTCTGGGAAAGGAGCCCGCTGTGTGTAGTAGGCACATGGGTGTGCCATCGGCCTGAATTCACTCACTCCCTGCACGTCCACAGCGCTGCGATGGCCATGGCCAAGCCCTCCTTGTGTTCAGCTGGGGCACCGGTGCGGATGGGTACTCAGGCACTGCCCGCGTAGCTCTGACGGGTCCTACAGATCCTACCTCTCCGCAGTCTCCACCCACTCCCCCTGCCCATCTGCGCCTTGGGTGTGTGAGGAGGTCCAGGCTTTGCCACTTAGGGATAAGAAGTGCCCTGGAGGAGGCCTCTAGCAATTCTGGGGCGCCGTATCCCAAGACCCCAGTTATACATGGGCGCCCCAATGTACCTGTGCAGGCCAGGCCTCTGCAAACTGAGCAGGGTCCCTGGTCTGGGCCCAGGCTGGAGGCCGTTGGGACTTACACTTGGCAGGCAGCCGGTAGCCACCGGTGATCTTGGCCTTGCCGGTCTCGCAGCTCTGGAGGGTGCGGCACTCGTCGGTGAGCAGCGGCCCGGCGGCCCGGTGGATGCAGCCGTCCACTGCCGGGCGGGAGGAACAAGCGTGGGCTACCCACACCCTGAGGGGTGAGGTGCAACTGACCCCCATTTTTCGAGGCTAGGACTGAGGCCCACGCACCTTAGACTCTCCATCTCAAAAAGGCCCCCTAGGTCGAACTAGGTGTCACCAAGCGTCGCCCCTTGCTCCTGCCGCCTCCAGCTTTCCCCACCCCTTTCAACCTCCAGCCGCGTGCCTTAATTTGTTTCGCCACCGCAACGGGAAACTAGGCGCTGTGGGGCCGCATCGGCCCTGGCGGGTAGCGGCGTGGTGGCCAGCAGGGGGCGCTCTCGGCCCACCTGCGCCTTTTCAGTCGCACGGCGGGGACCCGGCCTTCCGCGAGAACTGTAGCCCGAACCCCGCGAGCAGACGCTGGTCCCCTGGCTCTGCCCGCATCGTCCCTGCCGGAGCGTCAGCGTCTGACACCGCCCTCATTGACTCCGGGGCTGACCTCCGCAAACGCTCAGACCCACTTTCCAGGTGAGGAAACTGAGGCCACCTGGCTACAGTGGCAGGTTCCAGACCAGCGCCTGAGTCCTTTGGCAGCGTCCCTGCGCCTGCCTCGTGGGCAGTAGGTCGGGCCGCGGAGTCCCCGCTGCGCAGGAGTCTCCCAGCACAGCAGTCTTACTCCTAACTAGCAGCCTCGTTAGCGTATGCGTCTTAATTGGAGCCCAGCCTAGGCTTGTTTATCCGATGGAGGCTCCTGAGCCTCGCTAGCGACCCAGGGGACTAGGGCCCAGAAAAACAAGTTGGGCTCCGTGGGAGGCGCGGAGGAGCCCTGTTTCTTGCTCCAACCCCTCCCAGAGCTGGGGCTTGAATCCAGGCCTGAGAGGCTGCTCTGCCTCTGGGGGCCCTGAGTTCAAGCCTGGGACTTGGGCAAGTTCTCTCCCTTCTTCGCTGTGATCCCTTAGGGGACCCATAGCAGCAGTCCCCAGCTTCATCTACCCCTGTCTGCTACCCCAGCTCGGTGGGTCCTAGGTGCTCTGAGGTCTCTCTGCTGGCCCCATCTTACAGCTGTACAAACTGAGTCCCATTCTCTCTTCCAGCTTTCTCTTGTGGCTTGTAGGTCTAATTAAACTGAATTTTTTTACTTAGCTCAGAGCTGGTAGTGGGTTTTCCCAACACATCTCAGGAGGATGAAGGACTAGAGATGTTGAGGGACCCAGGAGAGGTCCACTGGGACTGGGTGCCTCCCACCCCTTTCTCTCCTGCTGCATTCCAAGGGGGGGGGCGCAGAGGCAGAGGCAGAAGGTGGGGGAGCCCTGTGATTTGGGTTCAGGCAGAAGCCTAGCACCTGGGTGTATCTGTTGTGGGTGGGTCTGGTCAGTCTGGATTCAAATCCCAGCTCCAGCAGACATAGCCGTGTGACCCACCGCCCCTCACTTCAGCTTGCTGTGCCTCAGTTGTCTCATCTATTACATGGGATCCTAGTAGCATCCCCCAGTTTGGGCACATGCCAGGAAGTGTGCTTCTTGGCAGCTGTGTTCAGGTTGGAGCCAGATGTCATTGGGGTCCTCCTGACCAGGCCCCATGGTCTCAGCCACCCAGCACTGATCACCCTGCAGGCGACCTTGACTAGAGTGTGCTTGTACCTTCTGTGCGGAAGTGGAGCTCAGCAAGATCTGTGTTTCAGGGACTTAATGTTTCCTGGAGAAGTGAATGGGCCTACAGCCAGGCCTTTAGGACTGACCTGGGGGCATGGGGTGGGGGTGGAGGATCAGTGCTAGAAGATGTCTAGAGCTGAAGCACCCCCCACGGTATCCAAACAGAGCCAAGGCCATGTGATTGCATTGCAGGCCATTTGCCCACTGGGGACCCCTGCCCTGTCCACCCAGCAAACTAAAGTCCAGATTGGCTCTGGCATTCAGAGTCTCAACCTACTGGCCCCCATCTGCTTGCCTGCCTGCCCCCTTCCCTGTTTACACATTAGCCTGTGGCTACCCCTGATCTCCAAGTACCCAGACATCTCTCCTCCAGCCTCCGCCCTGCTATCTTTAGCCACAGGCCTGAAGACAGGTTCCTGGGTGCACACTTCTGAAGTTCCCTTGGCTTTGATCTCCAGCCCTGCCCTGGCTCTGCTAAGCTAAGGCTAAGCTAAGCCATGAAGACCTAGGGGAGAAAGGTCCCGAGGGTTCTTCCTGGGTGCCACCTTTCCTCCCTCCTTCCTACTAGACCCTGGGGCAGCCCTGACCCCCAGGGACACCTGGTATGGAGGTGTCCAGAACTCAAACTGAGCTGATCATTGCTCCCCTCTCTGGCCTCTATGTTGTTCTTAAGAGCCACCAAGTTGGTTCTAGCTCAGAGTGACCCTTCATAGGATTTCCAAGGAGCAGCTGGTGAGCTTGCACCATCAACCTTGCAATTCAAACAACTTTGTAGTCTGACACATTAGCCCACAGCGCCACTCCAGGACTCCTTAGTCACAGCTAAACAAACGGCCAACCTCTTAACTCCAGCTCTACCCTGCCTCCACCCCCCATGCTGTGGAAGAGAGGAGAGCTGAGTTGAGTGAACCCAGGGCAAGGACAGGTAGTCAGGGGTGGAGGGACTGTCGTCAAAGCCTGGGAGGCCGGGAAAGCAGGCAGGCTCCGGTGGGGCCCATCTTGCCCAGGCTCTTAGGATGTGTTGGCCGCTATTTAGGGTGCTGTAATATTCATGAAGGGAAGATTAGATATTTAAATTTATTCAGCAATAAATGCGTCTCAGTGGGGGAGCATTCCTCATGCTAAACAAACAAGCAAGCAGGGGCTAATTAATTATTTACAGGAACACAAGGAGGCCTGTGGCCTGGACAAGGAGGGGGGCAGTTGTGGCTGGGTGGACTCCTTTTTCCTTTCCCTAACCCCACATCCTCTCCACCCTCCAGTGGGGCTGGTTCCCTGTGAGACTCTTCTCTTCCCAGAAACTCTGGCCACAAGCTTGCTTTGCTTTGGGCAAGGTACTTAACCTCTTTGAGCCTGACAGGGTGGTGGGGAAGACTGAGGTATTCTGTGGGTAGCTAGGGGTGGGTGCTGAGCAAGAGGAAATGTCATCATCATCACCACTCTGACTGTTATGGCCCTATCATCTCTGTCATCACCTCCCAGAACTCGGTTCTCAAAGCCCCTGGTCCAGTCTCCCCACCCCGCTAGAAGTGTGAGGAGATGGAAGCCTGGGGGGCGGTGGGGATTCGGGACCTGTCAAGTCACACAAGACTTAGAGAGGAGCAGACAAGCCCACATGGCTTCCTGAAGTCTGCAGAAGTGGAGACAACGGCGCAGAGAGGCAGGCGGAGCTTCTCCATCACTCCCTGACCCCAGAGCAGGGAGGTGAGGAGGAAGGGCACGACACGGGCTAGGTTGTGGACTGGGCTGTGTCTCTCTCCCTGCCCTGTGAGGCCCAGGTTGGCTCCTTCCTGCTGCTTGGGGCAGAGTGGGCCTAGGTTTCTGACACAATGGGTGGAGGAGCCTCCCTCCATGTCTCTGTGCCTCAGTGTCCCCGTCTAAACAGCACATCCTGGTCCTTCCTCACTGGTCATGGTGTTCAAGGAGAGACTGCCTCAGAGCACCCTACTCTTTATCTGTAACTGTCCCCTTTACAGACGGGAAGACTGAGGCTCAGCTATTGACGCCATGTCAGGAGACTCCTCTTTGCTCTCCAGGGTCTCCTTTGCCTGAGGGACCAGGGCATCTCAGGGAAAGTCCTGGGCAAGGCTCTGGTGTGTGTGTGGGCAGATGTGACCCTGAGACATGGGGTCAGGAGAAGTGCTTCTCAGCCCAGGAGGGGCTGGGGCCTGACCTAGGGAGCCCACCCCACCCCAGGGTCCTCACCCATTGGCCAAGAGCTGGGGAGAGGCCCCGCCAGACACCTGGGTTGTTCTCTCAGGAGCTGTTTGTACTCCTAGATCCCGACTCTGCAGAGGGAAGAACCCAGCCCCCAAACCAGATAAGTGACCCACCCAAGGCCCCCCAGCCCTCTCTCTCTCTGGCCTCCACTTGCCTCCCAGATGCTGCGGGGGTCATGATAACCCCCCAGTTGACAGGGTCATCTTGACCTCTACCCACTCCCTCCCAGGCCCCACTGTGTACCAGGCTGGGCTCAGCCCCCTGGGGACACAGAGGTCATCCTTGCAGGGCCCAACCCTGGTGGTGGCCAGGCAGGTGGGTACCCCGGAGAGAAGACAGATGGACAGCCACGCTGCAATGTGATCTGAAATTCATTACAGGGTGAGATCAGCTCCTTAAATGGGGATTTGAAAACATTAGGGCTTCATTATGTACACAACGGCCGCGCCTCATTCATCATGCAAAAATCACTCCCGTTATTAAAAATCCCAGTGGCAGCTGCCGCAGGGGTTTGGTGGCATCTTGCCTGTGGAGGTGGGACATAGGCCCATGAGGTGGCCATGCAAGGGGCCAGAATCCTAGTACCCTCTTATCTGTCTGGGTGGGGGTGGGGGCAGCAGGAGGAGCAATTTGACTCTAAGGACCTGGTGCCTCAGTTTCTTTATCTGCAAAGTGCAAAAGACTGTGAGTCTGAGTTAAGATACAGGGAGAAACTCAGCAAAGGGTACCAAGTGAACACAGTCAGCAGCAGTTTACTTGGGGAAGGGCACCCCCACCCCCAGCTCCCAGATTCTGTGAAATAAAATCCTCAACCCAGTACAAGGCTCAGGAATCCTTGCGGATGCCCCAGCTTCTGCGCCTCCCCCTTCATCTGCCTCCCAGGCCTCCCCCAGCTCATTCTAGGAGTGTGCCTGGAGGTCGGTATGTGAAGGGGAGGCTGGCAGACAGGAGCCCCACACCTTTAACATGGGGATAAAATCGAGCCCCGGACCTGCCAGAGGCCAGGGAGGTGGGAGGGATGGGGCCTTAGGAAGGCATGTCAGAGGCTGTGGCATTTTGATTAGAGCTCCAGTGAGACAAAGAATTGGTTTGGGGTAGATGGGGAAGGGGCAATCCAATAAGAGCAAAGGCCCTGTGGCGGGGCACCAGGAAAGCCGGCA